ACAGGCCTCTTTGCAGCTTTTGCGTTTGAAAAATGTCTTAAATGTGGTTGATCCTCTTCGACAGGTCGTGAAGAATTTTAAGTCTGAGCTCCTGAGCAAAGGAAGTGAGGTACGGGGGAAATTCTGTTTTGTTTTCATTAAAATAGTGTTCAGTTACTCAACGATGAACGAATTGACGTGATCAGAAAGTTATTAGATGACAGATTCAGTTCTGAGAATATTGGTGGCACCAAAAAGAACTCACTAATTCAGCAACACAGGAAGTGCTACGCTATCAAGGTTTTCTTCTCTGTCTGCCGTATATTTTTCCTTACAAGAAGTTGTTTAGGAAGGTGTTTCTGTGAACCTTGATGTAGCTAGAAGAGCTTACGAAGAACTGCTGAGAGGTGTTCAGGAGCAAGGTGAGGCCAGACAACTTGTTAATCAAAGGAGGTTTTGTTTAAATCGGTTGCCAATCAATATTGTTGGGCACTCAGCTTCTTTCGCCGCGCATGTCCGCTTTTACGCTAGCTTCTGTGGAAAGCATTACTACAATTTTTGGCCTGATACGGTCGTCTGACCATTAGAGCCACTTTTTTTCAGAAAAAGAACTTACCAAATATCTTCCTGGACAGGACACCAGGCTGGCATTTTCAAAAGCACGTGGATTTCATTATGTGTGGGTTTGTGGCGATGCAGGCACAGTTGAAGTACCGTCGGTAAGCAATTTCAAGACATTTCATGTTGTGTAGGACTAACTGTTGGCAAGGTAATGCTAATTCTTTTTAGATTTTCGTTAATGTTGTGAGAAATCGCTCTTCCTTGACGTTTACGTCTAGAAATTTATTACGCTACAATGGTAAGCTTAATCAGATTACAAATTTTTTTTCAAAGAGTAGATGAGAGCATGCTCACGATTTACAAGTTTAAATTTCACTTAATACAGTTTCAGTAATCGCTCGTTCATCAAGAATTAATTTAACCTTTTCCAGACAGAATTGAACAATCGATCTCGGAAGTGATGATTGCAACTAATGTCGTCGTAGAGGAAGTAATTAAAGAAGTATGTTCATCTTAAAATTTTTAACTCTTGGTTTAATGTGATCGTTAGCTACGTTTTCAAATCGTTTTTTGATCAGAAAAGCGAGTTTCAAATTTATCATATAGCATATTCCATTCAGAGCATTCTTAGTCCTATGTATTGTTCTTGGGTTTATTGTAACTTCATTAATTTATTTAGGTTCGTCCTTCGATTGCTGTATTATATCATGTCATGGATTGCCTTGCAACCACGGATTTTCTTTGTAGCCTTGCTGTCTATGCTTTTAATCGAGAGACGGGTATTTCGTCTTTTTACTTAGTTTA